ATTTCGTTCCAGCTTGAGCGTCTGTCCACCGCCCGCTCAAACTGAGGGGGTGTCTTAGCAATGCATATAATCAGCCGAGATACTTGGCTGATTTTATGTGATTATTATTTATTGTGATTGATTTGGTGTATATATTGTTTCCTTTTATTATGTTGTATCATTCCCTATTTAAAGGGTTTTCAGGTTCAATAGAAACAGAGACCATAAACTCTTTTAGTTGATTCCTTGGTCAGAGTGAGCAAACTCTAGGCCAAGGATGTATTTTAAAACACCTAGATCCTTAATAGTAAAACAATTGTCAAGATGGTTTTTGATAGCAGATATATGAGCTAAATTGTTGCCTGTGATAATGATGTCATCAACATATACTAAGAGGGCAGTGAATGAAGAATCTACATGCATAGTAAATAAGGAAGTATCTGAGACAGATTGTACAAAACCATAATCAATGAGACACTGAGTAAGTTTAGAGAACCACTGTCTGGAAGCTTGCTTGAGACCATAGAGGCTTTTGACTAGTTTACAAACTCTGTTATCATTTTTAGCAAGATAACCTGGGGGTGGTTTCATATAAACTTCCTCCTCTAATTCACCATGTAAAAAAGCATTGTTAACATCAAGTTGGTGAATATGCCATTTCTTAATAGAAGCTAAAGTAATTAATAATCTGACAGTGGTAATTTTTGCAACTGGGGAAAAAGTTTCAAAGTAATCAATTCCCTCTTCTTGGGTATAACCCTTGACAGCTAATCTTGCCTTGTATCTTTCTAAAGTACCATCAGATTTATACTTAATTTTGAAAACTCACTTACAACCTATACAATGTTTATTGTCAGGTAAAGTAGTTAACTCCCAGGTATTAGTCTTTTCTAAAGCCTCTAATTCAGTTCTCATAGCAATCTGCCATTGAGGGTCTTCTGCAGCTTCTTTAAAACTCTTAGGTTCATTAAGCAATGATATGGATGCAGTGAAGCAGGAGTGTAATGTAGATAAAGAATTAGTGGACAGATAATCTGAAATAGGATAAAGGGGTGTTCCAGATGTGCATTGAGAAGAGATTACTGAGTTGGATTTGAATTTGGATGGAGGAATAGAATGCTTATATATGTCAAGATAGGCAGGTGGTTTAGATTGTCTTGTGGACCTTCTGATGTGTGTTGGAGAGGAAGCATTTGTTTGAGGTTGTGATTGAGTAGGTTGAGGATGTGATGTGGAGGCTGAAGGAGATGGTAAAGGAGATGTGGGATTCTGTATAACAGGGTGTTGTATGGCAGGATTCTGTATGACAGGAGAGGTGTTATGTGGAGTAGGTTCCTTATCAAAAGGAAATGGTTGAGGTAAAGGAAACAATGTGTCTGAAGTATCAGTGGAAAGGTGAGAGTCAATATTTTTGAAAGGGAGAACATTCTCATAAAATTGCACATTTCTGGAAATTAATGTCTTCTTGGTATCAAGGTTGTAAAGTTTATAACCTTTACAACCTATAGGATACCCAAGAATTATGCACTTACAAGCCCTGGAATCAAACTTACTTCTGTTTGCAACAAGAGTGGAAGCATAGCATAAGCTACCAATTACTCTGAGATGAGTATAGGTAGGTGGTTTGTGATTTAAAATTTCAAAAGGAGATTTGTTTTGTAAAACAACAGAGGGCACTCTGTTTATTATATGAGCAGCAGCTGAAATACAATCTAGCCAGAAAATGGTAGGTAAATGGGCATGAAACATAATGGCTCTGGCTACTTGCAATAAATGTTGATGTTTTCTTTCTATTCTACCATTTTGTTGAGGAGTCTCAACACAAGTAGTTTGATGAGTGATGCCATTAGATTGGCAGAAGTCATTAAGAAAAATTCAGTCCCATTATCAGTTCTAATGATTTTGATTTGTTTTTGAAATTGATTCAAAACCATGTTATAGAAATGAGTGAGACTGTTTTTAGTATCAGATTTAGCTTTAAGAGGATATATCCAAGTAGTTCTGCTAAAATCGTTAACTATTGTTAAAAAATATTTATATCCTTCATGTGAAATGACAGAGAAAGGTCCCCAAACATCACAGTGAATGAGTTCAAAAATTCAAGAAGATTTTGATTCACTGATGGAGAAGGGTAACCTTTTTTGCCTTGCAAAATGACATATATCACATGGTAATGAACTCATAGATGAACATGAACAATCAACCATAGGTAAATGCATCAGTTTATTGTATGACAGATGTCCCAGTCTGTGATGCCACAAAGCATTGTTCATAGAGCTATGACTTATAGGTAAAGGAGAGTTTACATGTAAATTGCATGAAGCAGTAGTATTAGCAGAGATACAAGAATTAGGAGATGAATCAGGTAAAGTCAGATGGTAGAGGCCATCTTTTAAGTCAGCAGAACCAATCAGTTTGAGAGTTGTCAAATCCTGTAACATGCAATGGGATGACATGAACTGAATCACACAATTTGATGTTGATACTAGTTTAGATACTGAGACCAACTTGAATGTGAAATTAGGGACAAGCAAAGCATCATGCAAAACTAATGTAGAAGACGTAATGACTGTACCAATTGCACATGCTTCAGTTGTGTTACCATTTGGTAAATTAATTTTAACATTGGTAGCAGGTTTGAGATTAGTAAATAAACTAGCATCACAAATCATATGATCAGTTGCTCCTGTGTCAATAATCCAAGTGTTTTTGGTGAAATTTCTAGACACATTGCATAAAAAGGGATTAGGAGTACCTGAAGCATTATGAACAACAGTAGCCACCATTGGTTCTGTGATAGACTTAGCCTCCTGATTCTTTTTGAAAGCTAAAAACTCAAGAAAGAGCTCATTAGTCATGGAAGATGCATCAATAGTAGGAGTGGAAATAGCCTTAGGATTAGGTGTAGCAAGGGTGAGATTGGCTGAATGTTTGGGATGAATTCTAGGACCTTTGGGACCAGTCCAGTTAGGTGGATAACCATAGACCTGGTAGCATTTATCTGAGGGATGTGGGTAGCCACAGTGAGAGCATTTAGGTCTTGGTTTCTTATCTTTGGTATATGGCTGTTTGTGAGAGGGGAATTGGGAATTAGTGGTTTTGGCTATCATAGCCATAGGTTCAGAGGTAATAGAGGTATTGTGAAAGGCTCTTTGGGATTCTTCTTGAAGTAATAGAGAGTATATTTTTGTGAGGGTAGGCAGTGGGGATGTGAGCAGAAAATGGCTTCTGAGAGCAGCATAGGAATCATTCAAACCAATAAGGAATTTCATCACACAGTCATTCTGCTGAGATTCAGCCATCAACTCAAAAATATTACAGTTACATGAAACAAAAGCCCCACAAGTACATTTTATAATAAGCCTGAAAGTAACATACTCATCCCAAAAACCTTTAAAGGCATTATAATATTGAGTAACAGTTAGAGAACCCTGAGTCATGGTACTGAGAGATTTTTCCAATTGAAAGACACGAGGTCCGCTGCTCACAGCATATCGATTTTTCAACTCATCCCATACATCTTTGGCAGAATTGAAAAACAACAAGGATTGTCTAATATCTTTTGAGATCGAATTCAGTAACCATGACAATACCAAGTTATTAGCCCTAACCCATGCCAAATACAAATTTGGATCGATATTGTGAGAGGGAGAAAGTAAGGTACCGTCGACGAAACCACCTTTATTTTTCACACTGAGAGCCATGACGACGGCGCGGGACCAGCTGACATAGTTGTCGCCGTTGAGGAGTTCGGCGACGATAAGAGCCCCAGGATTGTCGCTTGCATGGAGGTAGAACGGGCTAGCCGGATCGTCATTAGGGTTTTGTGCAGAGGCCATTGCGATTCAACAGAGAACAAACAGATCTAAGAGATATAGATCGAAGAAACAGAGATCTCAGAGAGGGAGATCAAACAACAGGTTCAAAACCCTAAAAAAATAGAAATCGAAAGCGAAAATCGAAGAAATCTCAGAGATGGAGACTTGATTCGAACAGAATCTATGTGCGGAAGCGGAAAAACACCGGATCGAAGGCGATTGATACCATATTAAACTGAAAATTTAACAACAAATGAAAAGATTTGCATTGAAGATGAACGATTGTACAAGAGAGACAAACGAGAGTTCGACTGCGGAGAGAAAAATTGAGGGAGCGAGAGAGTAAGCAACCCTTTTATATTTAAGGTTTGCTCAAGGACAAAGAAGTAAATTACATTTGCCTATAGTTGCTATAGCAACTTTAACACAAGATACTAAATTACATTTGCCTATAGTTGCTATTTTAGAGATAGCAACTTTAACACAAAATACTAAAGAATAACAATACATAATGTTAATAATCTCCTTGTTTTAAGATTTTGTTTTACCCTTTTTCCCTTATTAATTTGAAACATGATAAATGATATTTTTTAATTTCCTGTTGAAATATTTGGTTAATGTTCCCAACCACAAATGTTTCAGATAAATAAATTTTGTAGCCATTAATTACCTCTAAAACTTTTATGTACTTCTGCTTATTTATGAATTAGTAAGAGTAGAAACATTCAGCAATACTCATTCCCTCGTTCAAGATTTTGCTCAAGTTATGCAGCACTTAACTATTTTTTCCCTTGTTAAGGTGAAACATGATAATTGATTATATTTATTTATTTTTTCTTGGGGAATTCTTTGCAAATGTTCCTAGCCACATATTTTCAGAAAAATGATTCTTTTAGCCATTTTAATTCATTTATCAGTCTACCCATTTTTCCTCCCACTTCTTTGGAGCTTGTACATATCTCGTTGTGGAGAAAATTCATTGCAAGGCCAATGTTTCAAAAACTAAAAAGTCGACTAAATAAGCAATGAAAGCTTTGATTTGAGTTTCATTTTTGTTGAAAATGACCACAAGTTTGCCGTTATTTTCTGATGTTATATTTTTTCTAAAACTTGCTAGTAGCCGATTTTGTCACATTGGACCTTATTGATATGTTTGTGAATGCTCGAATAGAATTAACAGGTGCAATTACATTTTTGTGTCAGGTAGCATTAACAGAAAAATGGGGCGAAATGTACAAGGATAAAGGCATAGGCTTCTATTCAATGCACCCTGGATGGGCTGAGACACCTGGAGTTGCAAGGAGCTTGCCTGGTTTCTCTAAATCGTAGAGCCCCTTTTTCGCACCTAAAATTTTTCGTTTCCATTTACTACAATAAGATATATCTTGGCTAACCAAACAAAAGTTCAAAATAACCATCTGACCCTATTTTGTTTCATGTCTGCTTGGACATTGGGAATCTGGTAATATCGAGAATATTCATTTGATGTATGTATGTGTGTGTGTTCGTTCAGGTTATCTGGAAAGCTTAGGAGTAGCAAAGAAGGTGCAGATACCGTAATCTGGTTGGCCTTACAACCAAAAGAGAAGCTCGTTTCTGGAGCTTTCTATTTTGATCGAGCAGAGGCACCTAAGCACTTGCCATTTGCAGCTACAAACGGCTTGCATTCTGCTATAGACCGAATTTGTGAAAACCTTCGAGCATTGTCCGGTTTGTAGGTCGTAAAACTTAAAATTCAATCTTGTTTTTCTACAACTCTTATTGTAGAACAATTGTAGAACTACCATAAGTAGGAAGTGAATAAATAGAAAATCAAAAGTTGAGCATTTGAGAGCTTTAAGTGTTTTACTTCCACATACAATATTCTTACATAAAAACCAAATAAAAATTGTCTTTCTATATGATATGATGACTGGTCTAATACAATACACTATCCATGTATTATTTTTCTTTATTTTTTCTTTTGAAAATGGTGTAAAATTGCTGCTCATAAGATCATCATAAATGCTAAGCAAACCCATTAACAAACAACTCTCGTCCCCGGACATTGTTGCAGGTTCAAGATCTCCTTCTTTTTCGACCAATATTGCTCGAACCTCTGTCTTGCGTATTCCAAGTAATCAAACTCGATATGGTTAACGTACGCCTGTGTATTAATGGGACAAATTTAAAACCAACTCTTAACTCTAAAACACTCACAAAAACCCTAGGGAATTAACAATTAGAGATAAGATGGATTATGTGTATATATATGTACCGAGATTAAGGCCCAGAGTCCCCAGAAGATGTGGTTTGGCAGAGTGTACTTGTTTATGTCGTCTTCAAGCTCATCCAAGCTCGTCACACTATTTGTTTGCCCTGCATAATTAATTACTCTAAATATTGAATGTTCAAAATTTCTATTTGTTTGCCCTGCATCATTATTTACTCTAAATATTGAATGTTCAAAATTTTAGGGGGACTTTTCTTAATAACTAGTTTTACTCCGTGCATTTATGCGAAAAAGCAATATAATAGAAGAGAAAATAATTAAAAATATAGAATAAAATAAAAATTATAATTTAATCAATAAGATTTTTTTTTTAAAAGTGGCTGCAATAGAAAATAGATATAATTCCAGTCATTTTTAATTAGTTGTGAAATATGTATTTTTAAAATACCAAAAAATATATAGTATCACAATAAAAAAGCACAAAAATATTTTGTATTTTAAGATATAAAAAAGTGTTACAGATATCGGAATAATTCGATTTGCCAAAATAAATTGTGTAACTGAAAGTTACATATTATTATTAAATGATGAATATATTTTTATTAAATAGCACATACTTTTATTCAATGAACTACTGTTATTATTTATTAAAGGAGGAAGAAAATTAAGTAAATCTTGCCAACAATTATATATGTAGATTAGGTAAATGTCATATGAATTGGGTAAGGATAACTAAATTCAACTTGTCTACTACAGTTTGATGAGATTTGACTCACTCAATAAAATGAGGATTTCAGTTTTATGGTAGATATAAATCGGAGTCCAAATAATAATGTGATTGATGTGTGAACAAATAGATACCAAAACACAACTTGGATGGAAGAAAGAAAGGTCAACCATCCTTTGGCCAAATTTTCACACGGAGAAAAAAAGTCCTACGTCTCATTACCAAATCATGTCTAAAGTATAGTAACAAAATCATTCAACTGCTAACCTGCAGTCCCGTCACGAAATCATTTCATCATGAATTTTAACCGTGAGATTATTTATCCTATGCTAATCTACATCTCTAAGCATTAAAAATCCGACAAAATGATATTGTGACAGGACTATAGTATTTCTCCTGAATATGCTATTAATATAAATATTCTCCTCTTACTTTATCTTTTACTAGTACAACGCCCGTGTATTACACGAGTGCTTGCTAATTTTTTTCTTAAAATCTAAATCTAAAATAATAAGAAAAAGTAGTCGAAATTTAAATACTTTTTATAAAAATATATATATTATTATATATTTAGTATGACATTTTTTATTTGTGCGACTTACCTGTATTATATTATAATAATTTTTTTAACTTATCAATATAACTACTTTAAGCACAAATATATCAATTGAGAAATAATTTTATTTTTTTTATGAATTTTAATAAAAATTATTTTTTATTATTATAAAGATAAATATAATTTATTTATTTCATATATACAATATGGATGTCAAATCGAAGATCATCAAAAGATGATTAATTAGATATATTATATATGTAAAACCGATAAGAAATAAAAAAGTTATCAACTTTTTAAAATAAATTTACAATTCTATAGCTAATTGAAGGAAACAAATCAAAAGTTAGGGATATATTAGTCACTTAGTGGCTCACTATGTATAATTACAAAAAATTAAAGGGTTATACTAGTACAAGTGATATTAAAATACCTAAGTTAGCTAAATATTGTTTATAGAATGTCCGAACCTAAATTATTAATTATTAATATATTAATATTATTTGTCCAAACCTAATCACGAAGCATGATTTTTCGCCAAGTAGGATTCCGAAGCACCAGAAGCAGCCACGTAGGCTCAGCGCA